ATTGAAAGGACTGACACCTTTCATGTTGGGTCTGGGTTGGGCAGGGTTGTGAGAGGCCTGGGTTATATTTTTTCCTAAAGATAAGGGCACTAGTCTCCATGTGAAAGCCTCAGACGACACTCACTGTGCACTGGAACCAACCCATTTCCCAAGGCACTGCCACTTTCCCAAGGGTTCCGGTTTCTCTTATAAATGAAAAATGTTTTGTGACATAAAAGCAAAACTTTCCATAACTATGAATAATTGCACAGGCACAGGAGATCCAGTGAAGCGGGTTTTTTAAAAATTTAGTTAAAAATTAAAGTTCTTTAACATTTGAAGGCAAAAACCATCTCCCACGTCAGCCATGGGGGCCGGGTGCACAGCAGCGAGAAGCTGTTATCACCTGCACAGTAAAGTACGGTCTGGGATCACTTCAGCTATACAAATGTCAGAGAGAAAAAACATTCTGCCTAAGACTAACCCGTGCCTCCCACAGCCCAGGGAAGGGGCAGGGCTGTTTCTGTACATGTGCAGAGAGCAGGGCCCGGCCAGGGGACCGGCGTGGTCACGGGTGTGGGCTCCTGTGCCCTGGGACTGTGGGCACGGGACTCGAGTTTCTTCAGGGCCAGAATTTCATCTCACCTTGGGATAAGTGGGGACATCGCGTCGAGGTGTCAACTTCTTGTTGTTATCCAAAAAACTGTATTTACAGGGACAGGTGGTCCTAAAGAGAAAAAGTAAAGATTAGTTGTGGCACAGCCGCTCCAGTCTTGGCGATCACCTGCGTGGTTGGCTGTGGGGACCTCATCAGGGCAAAAACAAACAAAAAACCCAAACCCCACAAAACCCCCAGACCCCACTTGGTCTTTCTTGTTAGGAGAATAACATGAAGGCAGTGACCACCTCGTGGCTAATTCCCCAGGACCCAGCCTGGACCCCTGACATCAAATCTGGCTCTTAGAAAACCCAGAGTCAAGGGTGAGGGCTTCTTCACCTTTAGACAATCTTCTAAACCATCTTATTTTAATGACAAGTAAAACCATCTTATTTTAATGACATCTTATTCTAAAAAATCCAAGCTACACAGGAATACAGAGAGTATAAAAACAAACAACAAAAAAAACAAGGGCTTCACTTCGTAACTTTACCCATTTTTTACCCTAAATCCCATACCCTGGAAACAACTTGTGTTCCCAGTTTGGAGTATCCTTCCAGAATGTTCCTGGGCATGGACACACACAGACAGCTGCTTGTACTTTTAAACAAGGATGGACTTGTATCAGATTTACTATGCTGCAACTTGCTTTTCTTGCCTCACGTATCACGACCTCAGTCCACGTTGCTTCACAGAGCCTGACCTCATGGTTTAATGAGGTTACAGGCTTGTATGTCCTCCCATGCGGCTGTGGCACACGCTAGCAATCCAGGCCCCGGTGATGACTTTCAGGATGTTTCCAATATCCCATCACGTACAATGTTGACAGATGAGTTTTTGTTTATTATTTATTAGCATATTCATTGTTACAAATCATACTTACTCTGTATGCCCCTTGTCCAATATCTCCCCTTCTCCCTTCCCTGTCCCCCCTCTAATAACCACAGATTTGTTCTGTTTATTATTTATTAGCATATTCATTGTTACAAATCATACTTACTCTGTATGCCTCTTGTCCAATATCTCCCCTTCTCCCTTCCCTGTCCCCCCTCTAATAACCACAGATTTGTTCTCTCCATCTGATAGATTAACTGTTCCTCTGTTGGTTTGTTACCTAGATGACAGATGCATTTTCTATCTGACTCCATTTTTCTTTACCACTCAGTAAACATCAAGGTATCCCATTTAAGAACATAACAAAATGACCCAGGTGTGCTTTGGAGGGAAAGCCACCTTCCCCTATGGGGAAGAGTGTGCTGGCTTGCAGGGTCCTCCGGGGGGTGACTGCAGAGAGGCTGCCCCAGGAGGTCTGGCCGTCCTTTAGCCCCTAGCAGCAGAGTCCACTGCAGCCGTGATTTGTAAGTAAAGTTCCATCTTCTGGGAGAGCAATTTAGTACTGCATGGTAAGAGTCATAAAGAGATTCATATCCCTTAAGCCTGCACATCTACCCTGGGTTATTTATCTTAAGAATCAGACACAAGCAAACAGCTCTAGGCACACAGATATTCATCACAGCATTATCTGTTGTTGCAAAAACACAAACCAGATGAAAAGCCACCTGAATGTCCCCAAATAGGAAATAATTTAAACCACTGTGGTGTATCAGTGTGGTGAACTATTATGTGATCATGAAGATAATTATGGATATTATGTTGAGTGAGGAAATTTTAGGTGAAAAGGGAAAATAAAAATGTTATGTACAGTATATACTGAAAGGTAATGAAAAAAAAAATCACCAAGCTATGAGAGGAAAATATGCATTTGGTGTGTCAAAAAAGTACCAGACTGTGGCCTTCTGGAAAAATCTGGGACCTGTATGTTGGTTAAAATTTAATCTATTTATTTTCAAAATGTCGTAAGCTAAAAAAGATTACGAAACAGTACTTTTTAGTTGTTTTTCAAAACTAGATATTCTACACTGAAAAATATCTGGGAGGCTTTGTGTCCAGGTTTAAACTGGGAGCATTGCTGGTTCCTGTCATTACCGGTGACCATTCCCACCCTTATCAGTACGGTCTGGAAGTTTTACGATGAGCCTATTCTATTTTCAAACTCAGAATAATAATACATCTGTTTCCTTTTCGAAAAATGAGCCTTCAGTATTATTTTCCTGGCATGTTGCTATCCCTTCCCTTGACACCATGCTTGCACAAATCCTCTGGAATTGCTAGAACAGTCTGATGTGTAGAGGGAAATTCTAACACAGATGCAGCAAAAGAATAACAAAATGAACCAGTAAAATGCACCAATCCAACAATTTCCACCATTACCCTGTAAGGGAGAAATCCCATTTACACATTTCTGAGCATGACGAACTAGCTCTGTGCAGTGGAGAAAACAGATAGCATTATTACTGTTTCTTTCCAGCCTTCAATCTCTTTGCATGAACACTTGCACGCACACTGTCTCTGTAAGTCCTCTATATTCCCTAGGAGGGTTATGGAAGCCTTCACCAAGCAAGATGGTCTGACTGCTGGAATCCAGCTGCTTCCTTGCAAATTGCAGCTCTGGGAGCAGATAAGGGTCTGCTGGGAGCCCGTTGACCCTGCCTGGGCCAGGCAGCCGCCTTTCTCTGCACCCGTTGCCACGGGAACAAGCGTCCTCTGGCTAACACAGCAGCTGGCATGGCACCTTTTCTTTTCATTCTCTTTGGAGATTGTTTTTGCTTTTATTTGCTGGGCTCCCCATCCTCCCTCCCCTGGGGCTCAGTACAGTGGTCAGGCCATTTGTTTGGGATGAAAATGAAGACTGCAGCCTCCCCAGCCCTGCGTGAGCAGCATCCTGCACCCCACGCTGTCCACACGGGGCCGAGACCAGAGGGACCCAGCCCCCTGTGAGGCCTGTCCCTGCCCTGAGTGTGAGTGGGCAGCAGGCCTCTTTCTCCAGGGGAACAGCCACGAGAAATCTAACCCGTGAGTCTCAGGAGAGGGCAGCCCGTGTGGGGGTTGGGCCCGTGCATGATCTTGCTGCTGTCCCTGAGAGGCAAGTTTTGGTCATCAGACTCCTGGCTCCAGGCCCTGCTGGGGGGCGCTGTGAGGGGCGGATGGAGGCCAGCATCTCAGCCTCACTGGCCATTCCCGCAGTACAGGGTGGGCTCAGCCCCTCTTGGGGCTATTCTCCCGTCTGCTCCCAGGCTGGGGCCGACATCGTGGAAAGCACATCCAGGGTGAGCTTCTCCCCAGCAGGCCAGGTGAAGTCACAGTTTAACAAGCCTGGTCCCAGGGACTCTACATTGCACCATGGCAATCACACATGATTAAAACGGTCCCTTACCGTCAACACAGACAACACAAATGGCTTATTGTACTCTATCCTGACTTCCCTTCCATATAATCAGAAAAGGGAGGGGTTGTTTGTGTAGGAACACAGGGGCTGCTGGGCTCCTGGATGCAGGTCAGGGTGGGTGACGTTGCTGTAGATTAGCCCAGAGCCCAACATACTGGGTTTGTTTTGTCTAAAGTATAGGCAATGCCTGAGAGTTTTACCCCATTCTGTTTTGGATTGAAGAGTCCCATTTACCTGCCTCACCCTCCGTGGGATGCTGCCAGAGCTGTCTGCTGAGAATGTCGCCACTGGAAGTCTGGTGGGGCACCAGGAAGTCTCCCTCTCTTTGGTTTATGGCGCTGTAAGATCTACACAGGCACTTCATGGGGAGTGTGGAAGACCCCTCATTACTCAGGTTGAGTCCAAGCACCCCCCTAGCCCGCCTTGGCGGACGGCGCCTGGCGGCTGAGGTTTTGCCTCTCAGCCCCTGGGTCAGCGTCCTCCATGTGTCTTGACATCGGTGCATCCTCCCCATGCGGTGTGTGATGGGTTGAATTGTGTCCCCCATAAAGTCACACATATGTTGAAGTCCCAACCTCTGACACCTGTGAACGTGACCTTATTTGGAGACAGGGCTGCTATGGATGTAATTACAGTCACGCACCACTTAGCAAAAGGAATAGGGTCTGAGAAGTGCGTCTTAGGTGATTTCATCGTCGTGGGAGCATCACAGAGTACACTTACACAAACCTGGATGGCATAGCCTACAGCACACTGAGGCCATAAGGCACAGCCATTACAATCGTACGGGACCGCTGTCATGTATGTGGTCATTGACCGAAACACTGTCATGGAGCACATGACCGAAGTTAAGATGAGGACATATTGGAGTACAGTGGCCCCTAATCGAATATGACCAGTGTCCTTATTAAAAAGGGGAAATTAGAACATAGACACACACACAGGAAGAGCGCCATGTGTCGATGAAGGGAGAGTTCTACAAGCCAAGGAATATCTGAAGCCACCAGAGACAAGGAACGACCCTCCCCTGGAGCCTTCAGAGGGAGTGTAGCTCTGCCACACCTTCATTCTGGACTTTGCCCTCCAGGACCATGAGGGAATGAATTTCTGCTGTTTTAAGTCCACAGTCAGTGGTAATTTGTTATAGTAGTCCTAGGGAACTACCACAACTTTGACAGCATTTTTCTGTTTTTTCACTTGCATCCTGACCTGCAGGGCCAGTGCATGCCAGAAACCACAGCTGGGTGGCGCATGCTCCCAGCTCCCGCCTTGTTTTCTACAGAAACGGAGGATGGTAGAGCCAAGGGTGCCGGTGGAAGTGTTAGTGGGACCCTCAGACAGGGCGGGGGCTAAGCCAGCAGGGTCGCGCTGTGTCATGACTCACCCCGCTGCTGCAGGCGGGCAGCCGATGCAGTCACTTGAGAAGGACTGAGAGGCTGTATCCCGAAAACGCCTCCTGCAGGTGCTCAGCAGGCGCGTTTGTAGGAGAGATGGTGCACACAGACGCAGCTCGCATCCAGCCCAAGAGATGCACCCCTCTGGGTAGCGGGGTTCTTCAACCATTGCACAGATGATGGGAGAAGCTGAGACATCACTGTTCAGGGACTAGAGCTCAGTTTTAATCCTCCGTCCCTGATGCTGCAGATGGAGCTGGCATGCTGGCCCTTCTGCCCGTATAATCCCTGCCCGAGGTGACCTGCTCCCACATGGCCCTGGGCAGAGAGGAGCCATGCCAGGTGGCTCCTGGGCTGGGCCACCACCCTCCCACCACCGTGGACGTGGCACTGGCCACAGGAAGCTGGTCTGAGGCAGCATGGTGGTCCAGCACGTGGCAGCTGGGGCATAGGCGCAGCCAAGGGCTGAGCTGAGCCCTGTGGGTTCCAAGCCAGGGGCAATGCCATGGCCAAGGTACCCTGTGTTTGAGGCTGCTCAGCTGCTCGGCTGCCCCCATGCCACTCCAGGGCTCTTCCTTGAGGTCCCATATGAGGATTCTGTCTCTGTCCCTTACAGAGCCTCCCACTGAGAGGATAACGGAGATGAATTTTTTACTCACAATATTCTATGGTCACAGACCCCTTTGCCCTCACTTCCCTCAAATCAAATAGAATGGGACACTCCAACCCCACACTCACTGACAAGTAAATGTGACACAGTCGTGGCATGGCCCCTAAGACGTGCTAATGTGGCTCAGGCAAGGCCCGCCTATGCTCGGCCCTCCTCCCTGTGCCCACCCTGGGGCAGCCAGGCCCGCCAGGCTATGCTGGGACCAGCTGGGGTCACAAGCTTTCTCTTCACCTCCTGCCCCTGCCAGACCCTTCCACGCTGCCACACTCCCTCACTAAGCAGGTGCTCTCAGTCTCTTAAAATCAGGGAACGATCTTCAACACATTAGGCGGCCCCAAGACAATTTGGTGCCTTTGCATGGGGCCGTTCTTAAGGTGTGTTAGTCCCCATTTAGTCCTGCTAGGCCCAGCAGCAACTTCAGTGGTAGCATGGTGTCCTGGGGAGGGGGTGATGGCCACATTACCACCATGTGGTCTCCTGGATGGAAACTGAGTCATGAAGAAAACCTGGGACGTGAGCCAACCCTGCACAGCCCTGCACACGGTAAGTGCTCAATGCATGTGCTATGTCCATCAGCATCACCGTAGTCATCTTTGTTATGACTGTGCTTCTCCATCCTCAATTTGAACAAGATTCATACACATTTGTGGGGACCATGGTTTCGGCAGAGGGTCTGGTCTTGCTGTATACAAGGTCAATGTTCGAGGAGGCATCATAAAGCCTGGGGCATTTCTGCACAAATTACGGCTCACTGGCCCTCAGGACCACCTGTGCAGGATGCCTTGTTCCAAAGGCATGTAACTCGTGTCCACAACAGTTGGGACCTCGCTGCATTGTGCCCCACATGGCTGTCTGTGCTGTGGGGACATCACACAGGCAGCAGCCCCTGGGGGCACCTGGATGCTTGTCCCCTGTACGCCAAAAGCCTTTTTCCTTTTATTGTTCTCTCTTTAAAAATTGATGTCAACTTCTTTCAAGCTGGATAAATCACTACTAATACTAACACTTTGATCCGCAGGAGGGTAACTCTTTTACATGAAGCCATCTTCCTGGCCTCTACCTGCCATGAACGCTCTTTTATTAGAAGGAAGCTGTGTGATGAAGGGACAGATCCCAAGTCAGGCAGGGCTGCCTCCAGACTGTGCTCACCCCAGCCAGGACTGGCAAACGAAGCTCACAGCCACCTGCCTGATTTCAACACAGAGCCCTCCCCGGGCCCAGCTGCTGCAGCTCTTCCGGCGGGGACCTTACCTGTTGCTTCTGGCTGCCAGCTCCTCCCGCATCTTCTTAATGTCACTCTTGCATTTCTCAATCTCCACCACCTTTAGTCCTTCCACTGGTGACAAAGAGAAACAGCAAGGTTGTTACCATGGATAGACATGGAGGATCTTGCGAGGCCGGTAACGAGGGGTTCCATGGCTCCTGATCCCGGTGGGAGGGGCGGGGGGAGACTGTCTCAGGGCAGAGGTTCCCACTCCTGCCCAGGCTGCCGACAACTGCCACAAACATGTCCTGGCATGTCCTGTGGCCAGGGCGGAGCCACTGCGTCCGTCTGCAGTTTCTACAAGACTGGAGCCCTCCCCACCCCCACGCCCCAATCTCAACTCCTGCACCAACTTCTCACTTTCCCTCTCCATGAGCACCAGCTGGAGACATGGGACAAAGGAATCCTTTATCTCAAAAAGGAAAGGGAGAAATGTGGCCCCTGGGTATTAAAATGCAGAGAAAGGCAGTCGGCAAAGCCACAGCCTTCCCAGCAAGGTCAAAGTCTCACCAAGACAAGAGCCTTCATGTTAGGCCTCCAGAGCAGCTCGCCAGGAGAAACTGTTGAATGAAAACAAGTGAAGGATCGGCACGGCCTGCCTGATCACACTCGGAGTCCTGCTGCAGAGGTGGGCTCCGCAGCCAGGACTCTTTCTTTCCTCGAAAAATCAACTGGTGCTCTGCCTCTGAGCGTGTGGTCAAAGTGGCAAGCTGCACGTTTGGCCCAGAAGCGCTGCCATGAAGCACGCGGCTTTGCAAAGGCTTTTAGAGTCGGCCCAACAGAAATAAAAAAGATTAGCTTTGTTACTGTGCAATCCCACCTCAATTTGTATGCAAAAGGATGCTATCCACAATGTCACTTGATTCCCCTTTTCATCAAGCTTGGCTCTGAATAACTGCTAAAAATAAAACGGGTGTGATTTCTGAAGGAAAAACAAAGCAACTCAGAGGCTTTGCTGGTTTCTAACAAGTCCTTTCCACCCCGAAGGAGGGGCTGTGGCTCCAGAGCAAACATCCACAGAAACTCTTGATTGCAGTGCTCCAGGGCTGCCAGCTGGACTCAGCCTCCCACATGGGTTTTCTAGGCATTTCCAGAATCAGGGGACAAGTTGGGGCCATGGCTTCTCAGGAACATGGCTTCTTTCTGTCCAAAGGGACCAGGAATCTGGAGGGTCTGATATTTCGGTCTGGTCCTGGTGATTTGCTTCTGTGCCTTGGAAACCTTCTCTGCCTGGAGGGGAGGAGGACATGGAGACCTAAGCTGGGCCTGAAGTGCGTGTGGTAGGAACCGGTGTGGTGTGACCTGGCGGCTGAGTCCAGAAGAGCTGCTGCTGGGGAAAGGCTGAGGTTGGGCATGTTTGTGTTTACCCACAGGCCGTCTTCTGAGAAAAAGTACCAAGCACATCTCTCAGGTTTGTGTGTGGGCTGGAAAGCCCACTGTGCAGCCTCCCGGGACATTGCTAGGCCTCGTCTGGGCTGCAGGGTCTCCCCCGCACCTCCACCACCGTCTGCGGTTTGCCACTGGGACATCAATGTAAGCACACGGTAGATTCAAGACAAGCAGCAAGAGGAAGCTCGGTCTTGTTGACAGAGAAGGCAAAAAATTCTGTAAAGAGGACGGAGCTGGAGAAGAGCCGGACTTGTGGTGTAGTGTCAACACTGGGTAGCTGCACCCCACCATTCAAGGTCCATGGTTACACTTATTATGTTTTAAGTATCATTTTTCTGAATACAAAATAACATGCACCCATTGTAGGAAATGTAGAAAATACAGAGCATCTCAAAGAAGAATATTAAAAATTTATCTGTGATATTAGGGGCTCAGAAAACAACTCATTCAATATTATATATATTGATGTGTGCCCTTCCAGGCATCCCTCCTCACCCCCATGCAGTCTAGATATCTACTTGTCCTATCCATCCATCCATCCATCCATCCATCCATCCATCCACCCATCCACCCATCCATCTTCCATCAACATCCATCCATTTACCTATCATCTATCCATCTATCATCCATCTATCTATCCATCCATCCTGTCTATGTATGTATGTATGTATCTAGTTTCAATTTTAAAAGACAACGTTGGGATCATGCTACTTGTGTTTTTCTAACTTGCTGTTTTCACTTATCGGTAAGCCGTGGGCCTTCCCTATGTTAGCAGCCGGCCTCCTAGCTCATGTTTTCTCCCCCCCCCCATGAAGATAATGCTTATTTACCACACTAAGTAGGATCAAGAAACGCTGATGGCTTCACGTTAGTTCAGATCACACTTTGCTGTTAAATGAGTTTGCAACAAACCTACTTTTTTTTTTTTTTGACTTTTCAATGCGAGGCCATTTTAAGCTAGCTCATGGTTTTGATGGGTGCATAATGTTTGATTGTATTGATACTGGAGTCCACCCAGCTCAGCTTCCCTGGCCATTTATTGGGGTGATGTTAAAATGAAGCCTTTTGAGTGACACAGCACAATATCACTAATTTGAATCCCAGAGATTCAGAATTTACAGCAATTAAGTTTATAAAGAGACTGTTTGCCAAGGAAATTGATCATGAGTAACAAGACGGCAACAGCTGTGCATTGATCAATGGACAAGAAAAGCAACATGTCAGGGATTAAAGCACTGGCGGGGAGTGCATGTGGGAGGCGGGGCCTGGAGACAGGAGACAACAGGTGGCAGGCTCAGGCACCACGGACCCCAGCCCCATTCAGGGCGCCAGGCTGCCTGTCGAAGGATTCCATAGCTCACCGCCTGGACCATTCCAGCCCCTCCTTCAACCCATCCCAGAAGGAGGCCAGTCCCAGGAATTGGGGCCTGGGCAGGGGCCTCTTACTGAAGGGCCCGCACAGACACAGCAGGAGGATGTGGAGCAGGCACTGATGCAAGCTCAGTCCCCCGTGGCCCACTCTCCACCCTTAAATGTTAATATAGGCGGCACAGACCAGGCACCCCAAACTGAAGCCAAGGCTCCCCTGGCCCACCCAGCACTGCCGGGCCCTGGGAGTCCAGCCTTTAACCACCTGTTACCTACCCTGACCAGGCATGGGTCCCTGGACATGCCGGCTTGCAGGGTTATTAGCATCTCTGGAAGCCCTGGCTGTCCTCTCGGACTTTATAACGGATTTTTGGTGGGCTTCTGCAAGACACAGTCCACCTGAAGGAGAAGCTTTTTTTTTTTTCCCCCTTTCTGTCTTTTTTTGTGACCGGTAACGGGATTGCAACCCTCGGTGTCGCACCCGTGACCGGCAACGGGATCGCAACCCTCGGTGTTGCACCCGCACCGCGCTCAACCAGTGAGCGGACCGGTCTCTGTATGGGATCCGAACCCTCGGCGGGAGCGCCGCCACGCTCCCAAGTGCCGCACTCTACCGAGTGCGCCACCGGGCCAGCCCAAGGAGAAGCTTTAAGAGAGATTTTTTAAGACAGACGTGGGCCTGGAGTAAGGGGCTCCTGGGTGGGAGGAGTGGCAGGTTGCTAAGGCAGTTCTACTCGGTGGCTCTTCTCACGCATGCTTGAACAGAGCTGATTCAACACTTCCTCCAGGACTTCAGTAAAGAACGTGCACAGAGCACACGTCCTGATGGACGAGGAGAAAGCAAGGTCTGGTTTCAGCATGGAGTCTTCTGGATTGTTTGCACGGCCAGTGTTGAACTTCACACCCAGACGGTCAGCTCTAGTGGTGGCCCATGCTGCATTTAAGTGTTGGTCCAAGTCCAGGCCATGGGACAAAGGGTGGACAGCCCAGGGCTGCCCTGCACCCTGGTTGTAGGCGGCTGGAACAGCAGCCACCAAGTCCACCAAGCCAGGAAGGAAGTGAGCAGAGAGCCCTGCAACTTTTCATATTCAGCCAGGACATGCAGGGAAGGCCTGGTGTGCTGAGTTTGTGAAAGAATCCTTAACCTAAGAGTTATCCCAGACTCCTTGAAGAAGGTTAAACATTTTATATTAAAGGGAAGAAAAGCTTTGAAAGTCAATTAAGAGAAATGGGGAAATTTGATTCAGGTTACATATTTTAGAAGGTCAAAGAATAAACAGGAAATTCCATTTAAAACAAGTACAGGGCAATGTAACATGGTTTAAATTGGCCAGCTCTAGCTAGGTGCCTCCTTCGACAGCTCATACACACCAGATGAAGCTGTGCGTGTGCACGCACATGTGCGTAAGTACATGTGTGTGTCTCTGTGTGTGTGTCTGTGCACGTTTGTGTGAGTGTCTACATGCAGCAGCACATCAGTCGCGTTCTGGGCAGCCTTCCATGGCCAACGGCTCAGGCCAGCTGGCTTCCGGCAGCTGCACAGGGTGGAGCAGCTCCCCAGTGGCCTGCACCAGAGGTCCAGTGGCAGGCCGCTTCTCCTCGAAACGACTTTCCCGTTCCACCTTCCAAGGTCCCTTAAATGTCCGGCTACTCCTGACTTTGGGTCAAGGCACTGCTGTCTCCAGATGGCCCTCTGGAGTTCGGTGTGGGGTTCGGTGTGGCCACCTTTGTGCTAAAATAGAGGCCGTTGGAGACTGGAAGGTGGTCAGCCAGAAGCCCCAGGAGGGGATGCACCCACAGCCAGGGGAGGCCAGTGAGGAGGAGAGCCCCTGTGCACAATGTGGCCACCCCTGAGGCAGGCAGCCCAGAGGACATGCAGACGTGGGGCCTGAGCAGGGAGAGGCCCCGCCTGGCCACTCCCAGGCCCTTCTCTTAACCTGCAGCTCCGGGATCTTCTCTCCTGCCTCCCCACTCCCATTCCTGGCAGGCCTGGGCGTCTGGTGCTGGAAATCATCACAACTAGGGACAGCCAGTTGTTCTAGCAGAAGCAACAGTGTTTCTGATCTGGCAGGGAGCCTGAGCTCAGATGTGAAGGGCAGGGTCATCTTCCAGTAGTTCTTGTGCATCTACATGACACCCTCCCTGTGAGGAGTGAGCAATTCTAGAGAAATGGGGGCGAAGATGAGCTCTAAGAGAAGGTCATAGGGGCTGTGTACTGTGGTGGTCTTCAATTCACAGGCTGCTTGAAGGCAAAATAAAAGCACTTTGATTTCGGCTTGAAGGTTATTCGCCACAGCCAGATATTTGAAGCCACA